GTAATGGACCTGAGGCTGAGCTCCCTGCACCGTTCTGGGATTTCACTCTCCACCAGCGCACCCTCCTTAGACCGTGCCATGCCACCGTCACTTCTGCCCTGGATCTATTGCACTATAACCCACATTATGACCCAGACCACAGTGACTTCTTCTGGGCACCCTCTCTGATATCCCTTCTTTACTGACAGACCAAGAGGTATTAGTCCCATAATTTGTCTCAGTGGCCAACTGCAGCCCAAGATTGAGTCCATGATCTCAGGGTAAGGATGCAGTCTGGTTACCAGCCACCCTGCTCATTTGCAATTGGGGTGCAAAGGAGGGGGACATGGGCCTGCCTGCTCTCCTGGGTTAAGATTAGGGGACACTATCGAATTCAGCTACATACTGCCCCTTTTCCACCATTTCCCTGTTTCCTTGACCCACTTCCATGTAGCCACAGCCCCTCCTGTAGACCTGTGCCATGGCTGTCAGTCAGTCAGTCAGGTTGTCACTCCTTCATGCTACCTAACCCTGCTTTGGTGTTGTGCTCCTAAATCCAGGCATCATTCCAGGGAGTGTGATGCAATGGACTCAGCAGCCATTCTTACAGGGGACCTCTGTTCTATGGGACATGCTCCCTGAAGGAAGTAGGAATAACTGCTGAGAGAGGCACCACACCTAATTAATGAGCTCAGTGAACAAGTCACCCTTGGTGTCACTCATGCCCTGGGGATTAATTTGCAGCACTTTTTCCTTCTGTGCTATTAAATGATGCAATTTTGCAATATTGTAGACAAATCACTATGATATTTTATAACCTTCTCTCACAGTATTAGAACTAGGGGTCACCAAATGAAATGAATAGGCAGCAGGTTCAAAACAAAAAATGGAAGTTTTTCTTTACCCAGCAAACAGTCAACCTGTGGTACTCCTTGCCAGGGGATGTGGTAGAGACTAGGGCTTTCACAGGCTTCCAAAAAGAGCTAGATATATTCATGGAGGTTAGATGGAAGATGCGCAATAGGTTCAATCTTTGATGGAGACACCCGCTCTCCATTGTTTATTTGGCATCTCCCTGTAAAGCTGGAAAAGACCCTTCTGAAAGGGTTTGTTGTGGCCTCTTCCCATGCCATGCATTTGGAAGCAGCTTTTTCCAAAGCATTCACCAGTTCAGTGAGGCTGAAAACTCGTGGAAAAATTAGGGTCTTAAATTCTGCCTCAGTTTGGCCATCTGCAACTGAGAGTGACCCTACTCACATGCCTTTCAATAGGGTTAGTAAATGGTTGTAAAGTCCAACATGGCTTTGTGGTGGGGCGCCTGTGCCAATGAGGTGAAGATTGGTTAAGGCAACCTTGTAAAGGACCCAGCCAATCAGAAAAGGGCTTATTGGGCCGTTCTGTAGTAAGAAGGATTTAGTGGAGCAGCCAATCAAGGCCAGGCTGTCCCATATAAGAAAGGGCTTTGAACAGAACGCCCCCCTTGGAATGTTGCCTGTGGTCACAGGGGTGGGTGAAGTCGGGAGGGAATGGGAGCTACGTACTGACTGACTGCCAGACTAAAGCCCTGATAGAAGAGGGTAAAGAAGGAGGCTGAAAACCTAAATCTCTGGGCTCTGCCTCTGGCAGCTTCGTGAATGAGAGAATCCCCTGCTGCTTTTCAACCCAACAGCACAGAGCACGAACCTCTAGGTCACGGGGCCCAGCAATGCTGAATGGAATGTGTGTCTGGTACTGTCCAGCAGCCTCCCGGACAACAGCAGCTCATGTAAAGTTTGACTTTTTATTAATAGAAAATGGCCTGTGCAAACCCTCATCTCAAGTAGAGGTTCCCAAAATGTTTCAATACAAAAATCCACCGGCATCGATTAAACAATAAAACACATTTGCTGACTATAGAAATATTTAAGTGATTACAAATAACAAGGCGGAGAATTGGTTAAAAGGGAATACAAGATAACATGTAACTAATACCTAAATTAAGGAGCTAAAGGAATTCAAAGCAAAGATTTCTCTCACCACCTACTGATACGGTGTTACTGGCTGGAAGCCTTTCAGCCAGAACCCTCCAGTCAAAGGCTACTTTCACTTTACTACAAATTGTATTTGATGTGAGACAAGAGAAAAGGAGGGACAGTAGCTTTAAGGTCTGTGCCTTTGCTTCTCATGGTCATTTCATTTTTACAAGAATCATCTCCAGCTTGGGGTTCTTGAGACATATTCTGAGTGGACAGAAAACCCCAGAGGTTTGTTTGTCAACACGTACATTTCTCGCTCACAACATTCTTCCTATCCAAGAATGGTCTTTTCCCCAGGCAATGAAACTTGATTGAGTCCTGGCCGAAGGCTCAATTTGCCTTTTGTTTCTAAGTAACTGCTTTGGCCCTGCTTTTGTGACCTCGGAACAACTCAGAACCTTACAGGGTACAATCTTATATTTTACAACTAATGTTACTACCACGGAATTCTGCTCTCAGTTTTGAACTGGGCATTTCTCTGTAAAGCTGGAAATGAGCCTTCTGAAAGGTTATGAAGTGGCATCTTCTCATGCCACGTGTCCAAAGCATTCACTAATTCAGTGAGTCTGTGGACTCTTATGAAAATATGGTTCTTACATTCTCTTCGCCTCTGCTTGCCCATCTCAGAATGCGAGTAACCCTACTCATGTGCCTTTCATAAATGGTTGTAACTCCTGAAATGGCCTTATGGTGGGGCGGCCAGAGCCACACAGGGGAAGATCGCTGAATCTGTTCGTCTCAGAGCTGGAAAGAGGAGAATTCAGTTCCCAGCCCATTTCAATGACATTTTCCAGACCCCTCGTAATATTATTGTTCATTATTATACTGTTCTTATTACATTATTATTCAAAGAAATTCTATAGGCTCCAACTGAGATCAGGCTTTAGTGTTACTCCAGCAAAACTAAAGGAGGCACCTGTTTCACATGGGAGAGTATCTCAATATATCTTTGATCCTGGAGTGGTTTCTTAGGATTTGTGTCATTTCTGTGGCTGAGGTAAAAGGAGTTGTTGCAGATATTGTCCCCCGCTTAGTGTCCATGCACTATGAAGAAAAACATGATTTCCCTCCCAACATCTGTCACTTCCTCTTAAGGGAACTACAAAGAAAGAGGAGCATAATTTGTAAGCGGGACTATGGTGTGTGCGCACCTCTGTGACAGTCTGCACTGAACACAACACAATATAGCTCAGAAAGGGTGAATTTTTCATATGTCAATTATACCAGACAGTAATATTTACACCTCCTTGGCAGGTTTGCTCTACGTTCTTACTCTGAGCTCTGCTGGTATGTACCATAGACTGGCAAGGGAACAACAAAACTAAGGGTATGTCTACAATACAAAGTTAGTTCGAACTAACGGATGTTAGTTCGAACTAACTTTCATAGGCGCTACACTAGCACTCCGTTAGCTCCAATTTAATTCGAACTAACGGAGCGCTTAGTTCGAACTAGGTAATCCTCATTCCATGAGGATTAAGCCTAGTTCAAACTAGCTAGTTCGAATTCAGGGGTGTGTAGCCCCTTAATTCGAACTAGTGGGAGGATAGCCCTTCCCAGGTTTCCCTGGTGGCAACTCTGGCCAACACCAGGGAAACTCTATGCCCCCCTCCCAGCCCTGGACCCCTTAAAGGGGCACGGGCTGGCTACGGTGCCCGTGCCAGGTGCAAGCCTGACAGCACCCAGCCAGCAGACCCTGCACCTGGCACGGATCGAGCAACCCACCCGATGCCCCCCAGCCCTCCCTCTCTTCCCGGGACCAGGCTGGAGGCTCCCGGGAGCTTGCCCGGGACCACAAGAGGCGGGCACCCGCCTGGGCTAGTGCGGACATCGTGGACCTCGTCCATGATCTCCGCACTAGGCACAGGAAAGTGGCCGGCTTGGGCAGGAGAGCTGCCAGCCTGGAGTGCCAGCACCATGCGTTCTTAGTTCTGCCACTTGCCTCTGGGCACAACTGCAGCCCAAGGTTCTGTCCCTGACCTCAGGAGCAAAATGCAGTCTGGATACCAGCCTCCCTCCACATTTGGAAGTGGGGTGTAAAGGTGGAGGGATCCGAACCTGACTTCTATGGGTTGGAACTGAAGGACCCTATAATGGGCAGCTGCCTATTGCCCCTGTTCCAACATGTCCCTGATTCCTTCAGCCACTTCCCCATAGATTCAGCTCCTTCTTTCTCCCTGTATCAGGGTGTCAGTCTGTCAGCCAGTCAGGCTCTAGCTCCCTTTTGCTCCCCTCACCCCACCCACCCCTGCTTTGGCTGTGGTGTTTCTCTCCTGTCAACCAATCCAGGCAGCATTCCAGGGAGCCTCCTGCTCAGCAGCCCCTCTTATATGGGCCAGCCTGGACCTGATTGGCCGCTCCACTAAGCCTTCTCCCTGCAGGTTGGATCAATAAGCCCTCTTCTGATTGGCTGGCTCCCCTTCTGCTCCACCATGTCAAGATTTACAAACATGTATAAACCCGACTGAAAGGCACATGAGTAGTGTTACTCCCATTCAGAGACAGGCAAACAGAGGCAGAAAGAATTTAACACCCACATTTTCATATGAGCTTATAGGTTTACTGAATTAGTGAATGCTTTGGAAAATGCTGCCTCCGGATACATGGAATGGGAAGAGGCCCTTTCAGAAGGGTCATTTCCAGCTTTACAGAGAAATGCCCAGATAACTATGGTCACATCCCGTGGTCTCCATCAAGCATAACGAGTCTGGCCTATTTCGTGGAGTGTCATAGCCAGAGAAAGACATAGAATATCACAGTGATTAATCTGCAATAAATAGAAAGTGCACCATTTAATAGCACAGGAGGAAACAATGCAGCAAATTAATCCCCAGGGTGTGAGTGACACCAAGGGTGACTTTGGTTCACTGAACTCATTAGGTGCGGAGCCTGTCTGAGCTCAATTGTTCCCACTTACTTCAGAGACCATGTCCCAGAGATCACAGATCTCAGTATAAAACTGGAACGCTCCAAATTGGCACTTTCTGTCGATGTGGAAACCTCACCACATCTCCTTCTTCTCAGCAGGTAGGTGCTGCTGTCCTGTCTCACCATCACACTCAAATCCCATGATTTCATTCATGATCTCTAACACTCAAAATGTCAATCCAGATGCTACCCCTTGAGTTAAAGAAAGAACAAGTTAAGCAATTACGTAGCCACTAAGGCGGGCGGTTTCCAGTATCTCTCAGGGTTTTCATATACACAAACGGAAAAGCCATTTCTGATGCAAAATGAAAGCTTCATAGAGACAGCAAGCAAGTTTTATCCCAACCTGGCATAACGAGCTAAAGACCTCTCCTGGCCGAAGGAGGTGAGAGAGAGTGAAACTCATTTATTCTCACCCCTTCCCGAGCTGTTATTTTCAGTCCAAAATGGTTTTCGGGCTAACTCTCACAAAGTCACAAATCGCTGTTCGCTGCTCAGATTAGTGAAGAATGTTTGCCTGTGGGGCACGATTAACCTGCGTGTCCTTTTATGTGTACAGTGTGTGTATTGTATGGGACACCAAACATAGACAGCTGTGAGCATATCATTCTGTGGACCAAGTTCTTCCTTGATACTGAACTGGTGTCCATTAACAAACCGATCTCCATTTTTTTCTCTTAATTTGTTACAGAGAAGGGATAATATCCCCAACCCTCTTCACTACATTGCAGCTGCCTGATCTCAGCTCAGAGGAGATGGCAGAGGGAAATCACTCGGTGGTGACTGAGTTCATTCTCACAGGACTGACAGATCGTCCGGAGCTGCAGGTTCCCCTGTTTGTGTTGTTCCTACTGATTTATCTTATCACCCTGGTGTGCAACGGGGGGATGATCTTCTTAATCACGACAGACCCCCGACTCTACACCCCCATGTACTTTTTCCTCCGCAATTTGTCTTTCTGTGATCTCTGCTTATCCTCGACAATTGCCCCTAAAATGCTGCAGAATTTCTTAGCCAAGAGGAAAAGTATTTCTCACGGTGCCTGTGCTGTGCAAATGTATTTGTTTCTTCTTTGTGCCGATATTGAGTGTTTCTTGCTGGCTGTGATGGCCTATGACCGTTATGTGGCCATCTGTAACCCATTGCTCTATACAGTCACCATGTCCAAACAGCGCTGCAACCAGCTGCTGGGTGGGGTGTGTGTTCTGGGATTGGTGGATGCAATGATACACACGTGTCTGACATTTCAGCTGTCTTTCTGCAGCTCCAATATCATCAATCATTTCTTCTGTGATATTCCTCCACTATTGGCTCTCTCCTGCTCTGACACCCACATCAATGAGATTGTGCTGTTTGCCCTTACATGCTTCATTAATCTGAATAGCGCTGTAACAATTCTCTCTTATATCTATATCTGCTCGGCCATCCTGCGGATCCGCACTGCCGAAGGCCGACGCAAAGCCTTCTCTACATGCAGTTTCCACTTGACTGCAGTGGTCATATTATATGGCACAGGCCTTTTTATATATTTCCGACCCAATTCCAGCTATTCCATGGACACAGACAAGGTAGCCCCAGTGTTCTACACGCTGGTGATCCCCATGTTGAACCCCCTCATCTACAGCCTGAGGAACAGGGAGGTGAAGGACGCTCTGAGGAAAGCCATGAACAAACTCCTAACCAATTCCTGAATCTGTTCATCCCGGTGCAAGTTGAGTGATGGGCAGTGGAAACAGGTGAATTTAATTCCCAGCCAATGGCAATGACATTTTTCTGGACCACATAATATTATTGCTCATTCTTATGTTATTCTTATTACATTATTTTTCGAAGTCCTTCAGGCTCCAAATGAGGTCAGGCTTTAGTATTACTGCAGAAAAATTGAAGGAGGCGCCTGTTTCACATGGGAGCGTATATAAATATATCTTGGTTTCTGGGGTGGTTTCATTATGACCTGTGTGATTTCTATGGCTGAAGCAAAGAGAATTGTTGCAGAATTTGTCCTCTGGTTTGTGTCCATGTACTATGAAAAAAAAAACATGATTTCAGTCAGAACATCCTTCACTCATCGTAAGGATGTTCAACTACAAACAAAGAGGAGCATGATTTGTAAGAGAAAATGGTGCGTGTGCATCCTCTGTGACAGTCAGCACAGAACATTACACAAAATAGCTCAGAAAGGGTGAGCTTTTGAGACGTCAATTAAACCGAGAAATAAAATTGGACAGTAAACATTCACACCTCCTTAGTAGGTTTGTTCTGCATTTTTGCACCAAGCTCTGCTGGCATGTACGATAGACTGTCAAGGGTAGAGGTGTGGCAATTTTTTGCCTCCAGAGACTGCGTGTGCCAAATTGGTAAAGCTGTGCCCATAACTGATTTTTTTTACTTCACAGCTGCTTAGAAAACATCTCAACCTGATCCAAATGTGAAAATGCCCTAAACATTTAACAAACTGAAAACTTTGACCAAAGTGTTCTTTGGGGAGGGAGGAAGGAAGGGTTTGGCACAAACAGAAGTGGCACATGCCTTTTCCTGCATCCTTCTGCTCCAATGTAAATGCAAAGCCAGTGAAGGGCTAGCCTGGCAAAATGGATGGGAGTGGAAGAGGCAGTGATGCTGCTATGTCCCAAGTTGACTTCAATCCAGTGATCAGAGCACTCACATGGGAGAGACACGGGTCAATCACTCTCTGTCTGGTGTGCTGAAGCAACTTGAAAGAGGTTTTCCCACACTGCTAGGGAGCGCCCTGGTGAATGGCCATGGTATGTTCTGCCTCTCCCTTCGGGCCGGACAATGCTCACGCTGAACGTTGATTCAAGTAATGGAAACGCAGGTTGCTGTAGCTTAGTTTCACGTGCAGCAGTGCCCGCACCTTGTGCTCACTGTGCTTGTCAATGAGAGAGCTCTGGAATTGACGCAATGTAACTTAGATTATTTGCCAGTATCACTGTTATCACTGTTCACCAGCCTTGGGACTGATCCTTTGCAGGTACTGGGATTAAGACATTGATGGGCAATTGCACACCCATTGATCTGATGTGTCTCCACCAGATGTGCCAAACAAACCTGGCTTCATTTTTGGCAGCAGTGTCGATGAAGCCAGTGGTGCAGCTCTGGCCTCAGTATCTCCTGCTGGAGCCATGGCGTTCAAGAGGTATGAAAGTCAATACCAATAATGTATACCTTGGAGTGTCCTCTCACAAATCCAAATTTCTGTATGTCTCCAAAGTATACAAACTTTGAGAGGAAACCAAATAATTTCCTGTATTTCTCTAGGATTACAGTTAAAGTCATGGTTAACTCATATAGAGACCCACTTCATAGAAATTGCTAACCATATGGATAAAGCAAAACAAGCTATTCCCCAATTAAAAAAGGAAGGTCATGAGTCTTTCACAGTCCTTCATGTAGATGATAGTTTATGAAGATAGGTACGCTTCAGGGATTACTGAGATTATTCTCATGATTCTAGAATACAAATCTAACAGGTATATGCAACGAAGACAGGTACCAATCACTCATGACAGTATATATATATATATATATATATATATACACTTATGCATAAGGGGAACATCCGCAATATATAGCAAGAATATCTTCTGTCTGATAATCCTCCTCCACTCCAAGTGGGGGAAAATAGTGCTGAAACCATCTCTACAAACATCTCAGCAAGTACATCCATAAGGGGTTCACTTTACAGTTCATGCCACCAAAGGAGGAGGGTGGTGTTGTCTATGCAGCTAATCTGCTTGCTAGCTGTAGATACACAAATGTATTATTTCTTTATGGGTTAGATTCTATCTATGTCATTATAAGTTTCAGCAGGCTTATATTGGCAGTTTGGTCTCTGTGTGATGGAAGTTGGGAAAACAATTAGAACAAAGCTTGCACGGTAGGTGTTCAGAGATGCTCCATTGAGGGTGGCCTGTAATCGACCTGAGGCTGAGCTCCCTGGCACCATTCTGGGATTTCACTCTCCACCTCCTCAGACCACGCCTCGTAACTCTCACCTCTGCCCCGGACCCATCGCACCATAACCCACATTATGCCCCACACCGCAGCAACCTCTTCTGGGCACCATATCCCTCCTGTGAGATCTCTGCTTCACTGACAGACCGACAGGTATTAGTTCTGTGACTTGCCTCAGTGGCCAACTGCAGCCGAAGGTTCATTCCCTGATCTAAGGCAGCTAATCTGCTTGCTAGCTGTAGATACACAAATGTATTATTTCTTTATGGGTTAGATTCTATCTATGTCATTATAAGTTTCAGCAGGCTTATATTGGCAGTTTGGTCTCTGTGTGATGGAAGTTGGGAAAACAATTAGAACAAAGCTTGCACGGTAGGTGTTCAGAGATGCTCCATTGAGGGTGGCCTGTAATCGACCTGAGGCTGAGCTCCCTGGCACCATTCTGGGATTTCACTCTCCACCTCCTCAGACCACGCCTCGTAACTCTCACCTCTGCCCCGGACCCATCGCACCATAACCCACATTATGCCCCACACCGCAGCAACCTCTTCTGGGCACCATATCCCTCCTGTGAGATCTCTGCTTCACTGACAGACCGACAGGTATTAGTTCTGTGACTTGCCTCAGTGGCCAACTGCAGCCGAAGGTTCATTCCCTGATCTAAGGGAGGTGATGCAGTCTGGATACCGGCCACTCTCCTCATTTGCAAATGGGGTGCAAAGGAGGGGGACACTGACCTGCCTGATACCCTACTTTGAGATTAAGGGACGCTATCAAATTCCACTACATATTGCCTGCTTTCCACCATCTGCCTGTTTCCCTCAGCTACTTGCACATAGTCACAGACCCTTCTTTAACCCTGTGCCAGGGCTACAGTCTGTCAGTCAATCTGTCGGTAGCTCCCTTTCCCTCCCCTCATCCCACCCACCCCGCTTTCGATGTTGTGCTTCTAAATCCAGGTATCATTCCAGGGAGTGGGCTGGAATGGACTGAGCAGCGCTTCTTATATGGAACCTCTTCTATTTGCTTGGGATTTCTCCAAGGCTGACTTAACCAATCTTCCCCTGTGTGGCTTTAGCGCCCCACCACAAGACCATGGCAGGACTTACAACCATTTATGAACCCTACTGAAAGACACGGGAGTAGGGTTACTCCCATTCCGAGATGGGCAAACAGAGGCAAAGAGCATGTAAGAACCACATTTTCATACGAGTCCATAGGCTCACTGAACTAGTGAATGCTTTGGAAAATGTTGCCTGCAGGCACACGGCATGAGAAGAGGCCACTACAGAACCTTTCTGAAGGGTCATCTCCAGCTTTATAGATAAATGCTCAATTCAATATTGAGAGCAGAAGTCTGTGGTAGCAACATTAGTTGTTGCTCTGCAAAGTCCTGTAAAGATTGTACTCTGTAAAGTGCAGAGTTGTTCCGAGGTCACAAAAGCAGGGCCAAAGCAGTTACTTAGAAACAAAAGGCAAATTGAGCCCTCAGCCATGACACAATCAAGTTTCATTGCCTTGGGAAAAGACCATTCTTGGGCAGGAAGAATGTTGTGAGCAAGAAATGTACGGGTTGACAAACCTCTGGGGTTTCCTTCCACTCAGAATTTGTCTCAAGAACCCCAAAGCTGGAAATGATTCTTATAAAAAAGAAATAACCATGAGAAGCAAAGACACAAACCTGAAAGCTACTATCCCTCCCTTTCTCTTGTCTCACATCAAAAACTATCTGTAGTAAAATGAAAGGAGCCTTGGACTGGGGGGTTCTGGCTGAAAGACTTCCAGCCAGTAACACCGCTGCAGTAGGTGGTGAGAGAAATCTTTTAATTCCTTTAGCTCCCTAAATTAGGTATTAGTTACAGGTTATCTTGTATTCCCTTTTAACAGCGGATGTCTGGGGTCACATTCTGTGGTCTCCATCAAGCACAATGAGTGACATTATTGGGCATCTTCCATCAATCATTACTTCTGTGATGCTGACCCACTGCTGGCGCTCTTCTGCTCTGACTACAGCCTCATTGAGATTGTGCTGTTTGCTCTTGCATGCTTCCTTAATCTGAACAGCTTTATGACCATCCTCCCTTCCTATGACTATATCATCTCCACCGTCCTACAGATCCGCTCTGCGAGGCCCGGCATAAAGCCTTCTCCACCTGTGCTTGCCACTTAACCGCATTGGTCATGTTATATGGCCCAGGCCTTTTTATATATTTCCAACCTATGTCCACCTATTCCACGGACATGGAAAAAATAACCTCCGTGTTCTATATGTTGGTGATCCCCATGTTGAACCCCCTCATCTATATTCTGAGAAACAGGGAGGTGAAGGTCGCCCTGAGGAAAATCATGAATAAACTGCTAACCAATTTCTGAATATGTTCATCTCAGTGCTGGAAAGAGGAGAATTTAGTTCCCAGCCCATTTCAATGAAATTTTCCAGCCCCCCCCCCCATAGTATTATTGTTCATTATTATATTGTTCTTATTACATTATTATTCAAAGAAATCCTACAGGCTCCAACTGAGATCAGGCTTTAGTGTTACTCCAGCAAAACTAAAGGAGGCACCTGTTTCACATGGGAGAGTATCTCAATATATCTCTGTTCCTGGGGTGGTTGTCTTAGGATGTGTGTCCCTTCTGTGGCTGAAGCAAAGGGAGTTGTTGTAGAGATTGTCCCCTGCTTCATGTCAATGCACTATGAATAAAAACATGATTT